TGGAGACTCTTTGGGGAGCCTGTCTTCCCCCCAGGGGTTCTCCAGGCTCCCAGAAAGCCTCACCCTCCCCTCTCTTTCTTTCTAGCCCTTACCTATCCCCATTGATATTCCTTCCAGGATAGACTTTCTAGAGCAATACTGTGCAACAGGACTTTCTGCTGTGATGGACATGCATATCCACACTGTCCAATACGGCAGCCACTCGCCACATGTGGCCTCTGAACCCCAGAAAGGTGGCCAGTGGGACCAAGCAGCTGTATTTTTACATGAAATTGGAATTGACGTCAATGTAAACTTACATAGCCCCAGAGCAGCAGCAGCTGTACCTGGGAACTTGTTAGAAAGGCAGACTCTCCGGCCTCGCCCCACACCAGCTGGGTCAGCATTTCTGGGGTGGGGTCCAACCACCCCCCTCACCCCCCGTGGTTTGATGCACAGTGAGTCTGAGAAGCACTAATCTAACGCCCATTCCTGGCAGGCCCCAGCCCACCTCTGAATGGCTGCCACCCCGTCACCGGGACCTTTGCAGAGCCAGAGCTCCAGAAGATGGCCCCGACCCACCTGTGGCCCCCGCACAGGGTTTGCTGTCCACACCTCAGGCACAGAAGGTGCAACAGGCCTCGGCTGGTGCTTCTCACACACCCCCGCAGCAGGCATCGGGCTGTGGGAAGGTCTCAATCATGGACGCCGCAGAGAGGGGTGCTGGCTTTTTCCGTTCGCTCGCTGAGTGCCTTCCCCGTGGGTGAGGTGCGCAGTCATCACCCACCCGGGAACAGTCTTCCCCGTGAGAACAGGCCTCGCCCAACCTTCCCTGCCTCGCCCACAGGAGGCTGCGAGCTGGCTGGGGGAGGCTGTGAGCCAGGCCTGAGAACTCCAGGCAAGGGACCGCGGGGCGCTCAGCGACAAAGCCTTGGCTCCTTTTCTTTTCCTAGCCAGTATTTATTGAGCTTATCTCCCAGGTACCGTGCTACGTGGGTGGGAGTGCTTACCCTTTACAGCAGCCCTGTGGCTTGGTGTTGTTACCCGGTTCTTAGACGAGAAGCCCAAGGCTCAGAGCGGTTACGTGGCCGGCCCAGCGTCGGCGGCTGGTCTGTCTGAGTCCAGAGCCCGGCTTTTGCGCGCAGTCCCGTACACCCCTCCCCAGACAGCAGGCGGGTGTGGGCTCCACTGTGGAGCCCCAGGGAGAATGTGGACCAGCACGTTCTGCTCGTGCCCAGGCGTCTGCTCGTGCCCAGGAGGCTGTCTGCTGAGCAGAAACCCCTGAGCCGGTGATTGAAAACGGAAGGATGCTTAATTGCAGTTTAGTCTTGCGTAGGGAACCTTATGTGCGGTTCATTTCATACCAGGTCGCGTTGAATCCCTCACCCCTGCTCCCTTTTCTCTGCTCCCGGCTAGGAATACCTGGAGCTGGGCAGTAAGTAGGGTGCTTCCGACTCTGGCTGTGGGAGCAGCGTCGGGCGAGGGCCGGCCCGCCTGAAGTTACAGGCTGGGGGCCCAGAGCATCTGCGTCCAAGAGGAGGACATTGTCTGGCGTGGGTCACCTTTTGGTTCCTGGCCTGCAGTGGCTGGAATGTGACCCCTTTCTGGGGTCTCAGTATCCCCAGGACAGCTCAGTCTTTTCCTCTCCAGGACGACTCCACATTACCTTCTAGCACCTTCCATGTCTCTGATGCCCGGTTCCAGCCCCCCTTCACCGTCCTGCTCTCTCTTTTTTCCGCTTTCCCAGCTCCTATTCTGCAATGGCCTCTGTCTCATCCCCCTCAGGCTTTCGGTACAGACTGTCCCTGGGTCTGAGGGCACCAGCCGGCTCTGTGGTTTCCTGTTTCCTTCTTTCTGAGCGTCCTTGTCACCTTCAACGTTTGCCTTCTGCCCTTGGATGGAGGATGGGGTCCAGAGGATGATCAGTGTGTGAAGGGGTGTGACAGCCGGGCCTGGAGTGATTTCCGGAGGCCTGGGGGAGAGGCGGCGGCTCAGCCTTCGCTTTTCCCCTGGTGGCCAGTAGGTGGTGCTAGATGCCAACCATGGCCCTGCTGGGGCCTCGGAGGAGAAAACCCGCAGCCGGCTTGCAAGAAGGGCTCTGCCTGCCAGCCAGGACACAGGGAGAGCGAGGGGAGTGCAGTTGTCCTCTCACTAAGCCCTGTGGCCCTTACAGGCTGGCCTCCCCTCCAGGAATTGGGAGTGACTTGAAAAGAGCGCCTGCCCCACCTTTTCCACCCCAAGGGGATGAGATCAACTGGGACACAGGAACTTGCCTCCATGTCTGCTTACCTGTCACCTCCTCAAAGCAGGGGTAGGCTTCTCCGCTGTGGGTGCTCATAGCCAGCTGTACTTGACCCCATTGGGGGTACTTCACACATGGCAAAAATGAGTTGTTTCCACGCCCCCTTCCTCAGGAGACTGTCGGCTCCTGGAGGTCACTTTCTAATCCCGTCCATGTCCCTTCTCCCCAGCGCCTGCCCAGGGCGGCACACAGCACACGCTCAGTACCTGAGTGCCCGGCCGAGGGACGGAGACTGTGTTGCCTGTCCCCATGGAGACCTTTAAGAACACAGGTTGTCCCTCTGCTTCGGGTGTGGGGACTGGCCCAGTGGATGGACAGTGGGAAGGACGCCTTGAAGTCCCCCGGAAGCCACCGCCTAGCTCAGAACTCACGTGTCTGTCGAATATGCTTCATTTTCCTTCTGCTGATGAGCATGTATCGCATGACTACAAATGTCAGGTCCGTCTCTAAGAAAAGAAACCTCCCCAGCCACAAGGAGAGGGGTGACGCGTAGCCTGGGCAGTGGGGTGCTGGCACTTTGGTCTTAGCGCCCCGGTCCCCAGAGCTTGGGGAAATGCTGGACTTTGGGGGCTGGCCAGTCAAAGTGGACAGGGAGGCCTTCGCTGGGAGCTCCGCTGGACAGGAGCTGGGCCGGCGCGCTCACTGTGCCCAGCAGTCTGTGGAGGGAGGGGATAATGTCCAGCCAGGGACGTGAACAGGCATTGAAGTCACCTGGGTGGGCAGCAGCTCCTCAGACCAAAGTGATTTTTCTCCAACTTTGCAGAGTGTGCAGTGTGTTATTGAAGGCTTGTGAAGTAGGCCAAACGAAGTCGTAGCTGAGGTGGAATAGGCAAGGGGCAGGCGATTTTCTGGGTCTCCAAAGGGGGGGATGAGTCAGCGAGGTGTGGGGTAGGCAGCAGGGGCGAAAGGAAAGCCGGCCGGATGCAGGAGGCGTGCTTTCAGCGTTCCTCACGTGAAGACCTTAGTAGGGCTTCTAATCCACGAGAGTCAGTGGGGGACCTAGGAGAGGAGTGAAAATGACTTCGTGTGGGGGGACCGTTCAGCGTGAACATCGGAGCTCCCGCCTGCTCTGGCCGACTACTCTTGGAATGTTCCACTGAGTTCCAGGGAACTTTATATGTGGTTCATTTCGTACCAGCTCACGTCGAATCCCTCGCCTCTGTCCCTTCTCCCTTTGTCACCTTCCAATCTTTATTGCAATCTCCCGACGAAGAGCTAGAGCTGTCCTTTTAAAGACACGATGTGCTGACACAGATGCCAAGGGGAGCAAGCAGGGGGAGAGACTCGAAACCCGCTGACGTGAGAAACCACTGAAGGAACTCAAGTTCTCTGTCTCGGGAGCTCGAGGCTGCGAATACGCGAGTCTGCTTGTGTTGAGATGGCCGATTGAGTGGACATGGCACAGGCCCCTGGGGGGGGGAACGGGGTGAGCTCCCCGGAGGTCTGCAAGTCAGGATGGGGTTGCATTGGAAGCCCTTGTGTTTCCTTATGGGCCTCAGAGACTAAAAGCAAGTCTCTCCCGACCCCTCTGCACCCTGGGGCTTTCTTGGGGGCCACTTGGCTGTAGCCTGAAGCAGCCGTAAGGGTCAGTGGCCTCATAGTGCCACCTCTCTCGCTGGCCCTGTGACAAGGGCCAGCCGCAGAGCTCACAGGCTCATGGGTCCCAGAGGAAGGATGGCTGTGATATGCAGGCTTCTGCTAGTCCCTCCTGCTCCCTTCCCAGCAAGGGCCCAGGTTCAAATCCTAGCTCTGTGATGGTGGGCAGGTCAGGCGGCTTCTCTGAGCCTCAGCACGAGTGCTTGCTGGTGGGGCAGGCACCCTCACATGGGCTGGCCCTCGGAGCCCCCCTCTCCACCGCTCACGCTGTAATGTGAGGCACCTCCAAGCAGACGCTGTGGGGTTCTGGCCCAGCCACATCTGCTGGGCTGGGGTGACCCATGTGCCTGGTTTACCCTAGAAGGAGGGGTTCCTGGGATGCGGGACTTTCAGTACTAAAACCTGGAAAGTCCTGGGCAGAGCAGGACAAGTTGGCACCTTAGCTGGAGTCCCCATCCACCCCCCTCTTCCCTGCCTTCTGTCGGCCCTCAGCCAATGATTCGCAGAAGGACGGCTGGGGCAGACTTTGAGGACGGATGCCCTGTCCCTGTGTTCAGCACTGCGTGACATCCCCCCAAAGCTAGGAGCTGAGAGTAGCATCTCCCGTGGTGTGGGTTTGCCTTTCCCTTCTCACTTTTCCCCTGAAATGTCTCATGAATCTTGAAATGACCCTGGCCTTTCCCCTCCGTTCATCCCGCATCGGGAACCGGTGCCCTGGGCTGTCCGCTGCTGGAAGGAGGAGGACCTTGCCGGGGACACCAGCCTGCGCTCTTCCAGGATGGGGAAAAGCTGACGTTGGGCTCAGTGCATGACTTGCCATGGAGCAGGGACGTCCCTGTGGGTGCAGATATTTTGACTTCCTTTCAAGTTGTTCGAAGGCCCTGTGGGAACACGAGGCCGGGTTCCCAATAAGCATGGGATCCCACATCACTGAGACCCCTTCCGTAGAAGCACCGACACCAGCTTCACACAGAGTTAGACAGTGGACTCAGCCCCACCTGCCTTGAACTTGAAGCTCTGTCCAAAGACCGTTGCTCAGTCTGCAAGTCGTCCCCGACACCCAAAGAAAGATTCCGCTGGGACGGAGGGTGGGGGAAGAAAAGACGAAGACACACGATTTTCTGGCTTAATGTTCTAGTTTAATTCAAAGTATATTAGAGCAACACAGGTGCTGGGCCCTGTGCGATGAACTAGCCCTGGTTCTAAGGAACCTGGCGTCCTGGGAGGATGGCAGAAGTCGGCACGGCCACCACTGAGCCATGGCCAGCTCCGGTCCAGGCTGTGATAGATGCTGGGCTGGCACGCTCTGAACACACAGGGCCGCAAAGGTTGGTAGGAGACATTGGGGAGGCTTGTTACGGAGGTAGGATGCCCAGGGCCTTGAAAGCTAGGCGGGGCTTTGACGGGCACAGGCTGCGGGAACATAAGGAATGAAAGTGCAGAGATGGGCATGGGGAGGGCCCGGCGAGGCACTCAGTCAGCTGGAGCCCAGGCGCTGGGGACCAGGGCAGCCCAATGGCCCAGGAGGCTGAAAAGGAAGGCGAGGCCAGATCCTGGAAAGTGTTGGATGCTGGGCAGAGGAGCCTGGAATGGGGTCCTGTAGGTAGCGGGGATCCACGGAAGGGTTTAAGGCAGGAGAGAGCCAGAAACCCAGCCATCTTTTGACAAAATGTCCGTCACCTGCCTGCGACGTCCATCTCTTGCTGTCTTTTCCTTTTTATTCGCTCCTGGGAGCTGGACCAGCCTTTCCTGCACAGAGCATGTAGAGGAGGGAGGCCTCGGCCATTGGCCCCACTCCACGCCCACGCCTGGAGTTGTCCTGTCTGCTCTTTTTGAGGTCTGCAGACCCAAGTTTGCTCCTGGCCCTCTCACTGTGTGCCTTCAGACTTAACCTCTCTGAGGGTCCGGTTCTTTACCTGCAAAAGACAGGTAACGAGAGAGCTCACCGGGGGGCTAGGAGTCCGCGGGCACCAGCACGGATGGGCTTCTGCGCAGTGATGGCTTCTTCCCCTGCCCGGTCAGGTTGGCCGGTGGCCCTTCAGGGAGGCCGGTCACTTTGGCTGGGGAGCCCGTGGGCAGCTCCCGTGGCCGTGGGGCTCCTGCCGAGCACCCCAGGATGCTGCCGGCCTTATAAGCTGCCTCCCTGCCTCCCGTGTGGGATACCATGAGCATGCATCAGGAGCTGTCAGCGTTCATTTCCATCCTTGGGTGGACGGCGCCCTGACCTAGCAAGGCTCCAGGCCTGCGTGTGGAGAGCCGGCTCCCTAAAGCCGGGTAGGATGATGGGCCGGGGCCGGGGGTCAGTTTAGGCGCCAGTGGGGCCACAGAGCTGCACGAGAAGGAGCCGGCATGTGCTGTGACTCCCTAGTGTGTCTGTCCCCTGGCCTATCTCTCTGGCCTCAGGTCTGGGTCAGAAGCCAGGAGTATCAGACCGGTGGAGACTAGAAGCTTCTCCCAGAATGCTAGGCTGCCAGGGTGAGATTTAGGCTTGCCAGGGGCTGTCTGCACAGAGACCCCCCGCCCCCAGGGGCAGCTGCCCGCTTCCTCTTCTCCTTCGAGGGGATTCGTGGCACCAGAAGCAAGGCTGGCTCTAAGAGAGTCAGCTAAGATAATTCCGCTTGTGAGTGGTACCACAGAACCTCGGGACTTGGGCTAGAGAGCCCCCAACTCCCGCCAGCACCCAGCTAGCCGGGGTGTGCCAGGTGGGAGGCGTTTCTGAAACCTCCCAGTTTCAATCTGCCCATTTGACAGAAAAGGAAAAGGAGAACCAGGCAGCACCCGACTTGCTTCCCAGGGTCTTACCAGCCGCTGCCAAAGGAGCTCACATTACATAGAGCTGGCACCCAGCAAACAGAGGAAATGAGGAGTAAAAACAAGTGAGTGAACAGCTCTTCCCACTCAGAACGAGCCCCTCTCTCGAATGCTCCTGCTGTTTGCTAAGTGGCACAGGTGGCAGTCCGCTGTTCTCCTTAGCTGGGCTGGCAGACCAGGAGCCCTGTGAGACCAGAGTCCAAGCCTGACCTTTCCCCGATCTTGCCCAGCACGTGGCATTGCCCGTAGTAGCCTCTGAGACGCTCCCGGACTCTTCTGCATTTTCACTGGGTCCCTCAGAAGCGAGGGATACTGGAAGTGAGAGGATATTCCCATTCGGTCCCGCTGCAGCCCAGGAGTCAGCTGGAGAGAAACGGAAGGCCGTTCTGCCCACTGGCCCCTGCACAGAGTCAGCAAATTGGCCATCCTTAGGAAAGGTCAGCTGACTCAGCCCCCTGCAAGAAACGGGCTTGGTATTTTTAGAAGCTTTTCAAGCTTGTGCTCCTGAGCTCAGCAGGAGGCACTCATACCCTTTGCCCATTCAACTCCACCCCAGTCCAGACCCAGCTCAGCCCAACTCAGCCCAGCCAAGCCCCAGGTCAGCCCCAGCCCAGCTCAGCCCCAGTTCATCCCAGCTCAGCCCCAGTTCATCCCAGCTCAGCCGCAGCTCATCCCCAGCCCAGCCCAGCCCAGCCCAGCGCAGCTAAGCCCAGCCTCACTCTCTCATCGCTCAGGCAATGCAGGTGGTTGCCTCTAAGCAGAAGCAGATACAATCAGCTTCTAGTAAAGCCTGACCTCTTTGGACTGTATAATATGAGCTTGAGATCCCATCCACTTCACCGCCCAAAGTCTATCATGTGGCCCTGAAAAAGTCATGCCCCCACATTATTCCCATCTGTGCAATGGAGAGGTCACCATATTTACCTGCAAATCCATTTCGCAAAGGAGGCAGGGTAAATAGGAATCCAGTAAACACCCCAAATTGCTGCACTCTGCTGAATTCTGGGAGATCGTCGCAAGGCCTGAGTGAGTCTGTGGTGGGGAATTCTGGGGAATTTTGTGTTCCTTGGAGAAAGATGCTTAGAGAGATGATGTCATAAAAATCTGTCAAAAAATGCTGCTAGGCTAAAATGGTACCTTTCCATTTGGGAAGGGAGGTATGTGGTCCAGGAGGGGCCAGCTGAGCTGGGGACATGAGGTTCTGAGAGCTCTTCCAGGATATTTTGTCATCGTCGTTGCTTTGCTTTTGTTTTTGTGTTGTTTGGGATGACAGCATGGATGCCTTAGAAGTGTTTGGCTCTGGTCCTAACTAGCTGTGTGGCCTTGGGGACATAACTTAGTCATCTTGGGCCTAATTTTTCTACCCATAAAATGGCAGGGATAAGGGAGGTGGGGTTTGGACTAAATGTGTGCTTTTTTTAAAGTGGTGAGTTTCCACGGAGGGTTTTGTGTCAAAACACCAGGGTCTGTGAGGGCACAGGGATCATAAACGTAGCACGCGCCTTCCAGGAGCACCTATTGTGCTCCACCGAGAGGTTTGAAAACGTCAGTTTTATATACCAAAACACATGCGGACATATTATGCAGTAGAATGACACGCTCACATAAATTTTAAAAATAAAATGTGAGACTTGAAGGAAGTTTCATGCTGCTGCAGCCCTCGCCCCGTCTCCCCCTTTTCCTCCCCCACCCATGGGTGGGGGGGTTCACGCCCCTCTCTGCTGGGGGCTCTGGTTGGAGAAGCATGAATGAGAAGAATAACAGTGAACTGGTTAATCTCCTAAGATGTTTTCAAATGCTAGCGTTCTACAATTACACAATCTGCTATATTATTATTATTATTATTATTATTATTATTTGTGTGTGTGTGTGTGTGTGTGTGTGTGTCTGTGTGTTGGGGGAGCTGGGTTCATGATAAACTGACCTTATGGAAAGACAATTTCATATCTTTTGTCTTCTTCCGAAAGCCCCCCGGCCTGGAAGCTTCCAATGGGAGCTGAAGGGAAAGGAACTGGCTCCCTTGGCCAACGGGGAGTAAAAAGAGAGAGAAAAGGGAGTCAGGAAGCGGGGTTGATATTTAAGATGTTCTGTTTTGTAATCTTCGTACCCAAGAGCTAACAGATTAGAAGCAGGGCTTCTAGCGCAGTGTGCCGCAGGGAGTGGAGATCCCCGAGCACCTCTTATTAAGCAGCCTCATTTGCCCCGGGCCCCAGCTCTTGCCCGCACCACACACACTACCACCCCGGCACCCCGGCACCCCGGCACCCCGGCACCCCGGAGCCCTGCCTTCCTGCCGCCTGCCCACGTATGTGCACACCCACCCGCCACCCACTCCCCCTCGCTCACCTGCACAGACCCCCGCCCCCCCACGCCCACCCCAGGCTGGGGGTTCCTGCCACCAGTGTCATGCCCACCCCTGCCCACCCCTGCCCACCTCTGCTCGCCTCGCTCACCTCTCTCACCTCTCTGTCACTGCCCACACTTCCCCCAGGCTCTGAGCACACACTTGTTCACCTCGTGTAAGATCAAAAATAAACTCTCTCTGGAATCTGTTCAAAGGCTAATGTGCATCCTCTCTTAATTATTGATCTGTTTATTACAGACGCCCCGGTAGGACATTCAGTGTGGCTGCTGTGCCAAGGGCCTAGCTCTACCATTCCTGCCCTTCTCCAGGAGGGAGCTGGGACAGTGTTCTCCTCTCGGGAAGGATTGGTTGGGGGTTAGGCGAAACCCGCCCACAGGGCAGGCTGCAGACTACCCGCACAGCTGCACTAGCCCCGGTGCAGCCAGTGGTCACTCCTGGGGTCTCCCCGCCCCCCGCCCTTTCCTTCCCTTCCCTGTTACAGGGGAAAGCCCTGGTAGAGGGCCCGTGGGGTGCAAAAGGGCAGGACTGTCCCTTTCCCCTGCAGAAGTGACAGCCTCCCCTCTCCTCACTGCCTCACTGAGGGGCAGCTTGACGTAAGATGTGGTCATGGTTAGGGTTACAACCTGGCCGGGTGACCTGGGACCAGCGGTTTACCCTCTCTGTCTGTTTCCTCACCTGTGAAACAGGGCGTTTTTGAGGATTCAGTGGAACTGTGCATGGAAAGAGTGTAGAAAAACGCCTCACACGGAAGTCCGTGCGCCGCGGCTGCCATCGCCATCGTCCCCATCATGGTGTTCATCTTCATCCCTGGAAACCCAGGATCGCAGGAGAGGGCCTATTAGAATGTGGGTGCCCCCTCTGGAGGCCCCTGTTACATCTACACAAGCTGGGGCACTGAACCCTGGGGCGACCGTTCAGGAGAGGTCACGTCTTCAGGTGAGCGCTCTGGGGAAGGCCACCCAGCCCTGGGCCCCCGGAAAGGGTCACAGCCACCCAGCCATAAGCGTGGGCTCCTGGGTGCTTTTTCTTGGAGTCCTGGAGAATGGCTCTGGAACTTGACACCAGGAAGAGGGCATCCAAGAGGAAAATCAAGCGTCCCCTCCTTTTGAGGGTCATCTGGCTTCTACCAGCTGGAGGTCTTCCAGCTGTGTCTTCAGCTGTGTGTCTCCTCCAGGTGTGTCTCCAGGCCAGGCCTCAGGGTCCCCCTGCGCACGGCACACCGCACCCTCACCCCATAGCCGTAGCTCGTAGCTCGGAGGGTCTGACCCAGCTTGGTCCCCACCTTCCCCCACTGCCACCTTCCTTCCCTGTCCCACCCCCTTCCCGGAACTCCCTGGGCTGGGCTTTTGTTCCCTCGGTTCCCAGGCAGTGCAGCTGGTGCTGTGGGCTGGGGAGGGGGTGGAGGACGTGGCAGAGCGCCTGTGGGAGGGAGCTGTCTCTTCTTCCAACGGCGGTGAGCATGGATCCTCATGGCGCCCTGCCCCCAGCACAAATTCCCACACTGGTGTCTCGGCAAATAAGACTCAGTTTTTTGGGGGGACAGGGGGTTTCCACTTGTTCTTGGTACCTACTTCAGTGTGTGTGTGTGTGTGTGTTCCGTTCCCAGGAACCATCAGCGCCAGAGGAAACTGGAGCAGGTTTGCTGGTTTCTTTCTTTGAGCCCCAGATCTGTTGGCAGCCTCCTGTTCCCTGAGCCCGAGGACTTTGGGGCACTGCCTCTCCAGCCCTCTAAGCTGTTGGAGGCCTGTGCTGTTAAAAGAAACAGAAGCCAGGATGGTTTCCAGCAAGCAGGGAGGGCAGAGTTTGTGAGCACCCTAACATGGCGGCTGAACCATCTGGTAAAGGGTGGGCCCCCGAAGGAAGAATGGAGAGAGAGAGGAAGAAGGAAACTGTTAGTGACTGTATGCCAAACCCCAGGCTGGGTGCAGTTGGCACGTTTTGCGACTGCATCCCCAAACTACCTCGCACGGGAAATATCCATGAGTGGTATTCAGGAACACGCGTTTCAGGTGAGAGCGAGTGGCTGCTGGAGCTGGGGTCTGAACCTGGTCTGCCTGGGGCTAACGCCCGCGCTTTACCGGACCTTCTGAAGAGAGAGCGTAATGCGTGGTGTGGCTGGAGGCTGCTGCCGTGGTGTTTCCCCCACTCTGAGGTCACCTGGCGGCTGATAACTGTAGGCGGGTCAGGTATGAAAAGCTGCTGTGACAGAGTGTGCCAAGGTCCTGGTGTCCGCTGCCTGGTTAGGCGGAAGCAGTGGCCGCCATTTATGCCGTGTTCAACGTACACGAAGCGATTTTCTGTGTAATGTCCTGTTTGGTCGTTGGGATCATTGGACCCCCTTGCTGCTGGAGGAGGAAGTGGAGGGTCAGAGAAGTTAAATGACATGCCCAAGGTGACACAGCCCAATGTGTTTTTAATACCAAATGAGTGAATGAATGGGGAGCTGGGTCTGAGCCTGGGCCAGGGGTGTGACAGGCTGCTTCGGTGAGACGGAAGCCGGTGGAGCGAAGGGCCCTGGGGGAGGTGGTGAAGGCATAGGCAGGAAGCTGGGGGCTGAGCTGGAGAGGGAGGATGGAGGGGGGGGCCCCCCCCCCCCCCCCCCCGAGATGAGGAGAAGGGCTTGGCTTCCGGCAGGACACAGGACACAGTAACAGGGCTGCTGGGTCTGGGGTCAGCCCCAGCCCCTGTGGGGGTTGCATGGGGAGGACCTGGGGGGTCTGGCCTTGCCCAGGAAGCTGCTGTTCCCAACCTTCTCCCGACCTTGGAGCTGAGAACATGAGCTACCCTTCTCTCTGCTTCCAGAGCCCCTTGATATTTGTCCTGCCAGGGACAAGCAGGAGCAAGTGTAACTCTGGGGCTCAGCTCAAAGCACCCCACTTTCTGCCCCAGACTGCTCTCGTGGACACACATGTGGTTTCAGGCAATGAAAGGGTTCCTCAACTCACCCCCCAAACATGTGGTGTCCACTCTGGGGCTGGCGCTGAGGGAGGGCCTTGGGGGAATGTGGTGAGCCGCGGGGACGTGTGTCCTGGCCATCTCGGTGCTCGCAGTCCAGGGACGGACACTGAGCCCTCATTTGTAGTGTGCGGAGCGGGTCAGGTGAGCAGGGGTTCGTTTAACATGCGTAGAGCGCCTGTTTCGCTCTCAGTGCTGGTGGGTCAGTCAGGGAAACAGGCTGGGGCCGTGTCCTCAGGGAACTTACATGTAAAAAAGCCGGCAGCAGGAGTCAGGAGGCACCCAGATGTCTCTGCCCGCCCCCCCTTTGTCAGTTTCAGCTGCCCCCTCTGCCAAATGAAGGCCCTTGTTCCGGCTGTCCTCTGGCCAGTCGCTAGGTAAATGTCTGGGTACTGTGTGAAGTGAGGGTGATGGGCGTTACCGTGGGGGAGCATCTGGGAAGCCTGTGTCCATGATGGAGGGTGGGTGTGAGGGTGCCCCCATTGCCTGTCAGCCAATCGCCTTCTGGTTACTCACCCCTCTGGCTCTCCCAAAGCCTGGTGGTTTTGATGCCTTGATTTTATTCCTTGAATCCAGCTGTCTGTAGGAGGTGCAGTGGTTCCACATGGGAAACCCCCACACGCCACTGCCCACTGCCCAAGGGACCGGGGACCTTGTTGAGTTTCCCACCCAGCCCACTGCTGATAGCCAGTAGTGACTCAGCAGGG